GTCTGATCTTGCTGTCGTGAGTCATTGTGAAAGAATAAGTTTCGGATCTATAGGGAAAGGTTCACAAGTTTTGTCGGTACCACCTTGTAATACAGTCATGTACGACGAAATAACGGGTTAGAAAATGTAATTATGGACCCTGTTGCGAGCTGAATGTTAGTGCACAGTGTGTGTTATAGTGTGAATGTCCATTGCTTGGATCACGTGTATACCTAATCGTGTTCTCAATTTGTGCTCGCAGATGTTTGTTTTATTTGAAGCTGTATTTTTAGATGCCCAGGTTCTAGGATTCTTTCGAACGTGACCAAACGGTATTCTCGATGAATATTGGTGGACGAAAGCCGCTCGATGCGGCGTCGGTAGATCCTGATTTCCTCGTGTTCGGATATCAGTGTAAGATTTTTCGTGATGACGAGAAAGCAATGTCGATTGACTGTGGAAAACATCTCATCCCTTGGATGGGGGATGAAGGTCTCAAGATTGACAGGTTCGATCTAATCAGCAGTTGTTTATTTCGAATTATTACTTCCACGCCAGTGCGTTATTCCAGGTATGATGTTCGTGCGGCGTTGGCAGATCTCTCCCAATACGAAGCACCACGTGGTGGCTATGATGCATTCGAGTTGTTGACTGCCGAAGAAAGGAAAGTTGAAGAACTCTGCGATGAAGAACGGTACATGTCTCTTTATCGAGACCCAGAACAAGAAGCCGCTGATCAAGGTATGCCGCCTGAAATTGAATCGAGTACCTTCACTCCAAGTTTCATATCACTGTACATCGTANCGTAATCTTCGAAGGATTCGTTGTCGCGTTGGCGGGGTAAATCGGATAACTGAGGCTCACCCGGTGGTCGATACGTTGGTAGCATGAACGGAGGATGGACGGCTGGCGGTTGTACCACGACGATCTCCTGAGTAAGGGTTGGAGGCCTGGACGCGATCTGCAAATCCAGTGGCCGAAGGTGCCAGCCGGGGGGAGGTATCCATCCTTGAGCGATCGACGCGGGGATCCGATTCCTTTCCAAGAGGGTGACGTAGGTCGCTCGGTCTGCGTCGAGAGATGCTCCCAGGCAATATGCCTCCGCTAGATACTGGAGAGTGGGGAGCGGAACATTATCCCAAGTGCTGCACGCATCTGGCGTGGACGGGATCTGCGGGAAACTCCGCGACGGTGCTGGTGAAGCCTGCTCCGTGGATTCGGTTGCATCCCCGGCAGGGGCTGCTTGCGGGTCCGACACGGGTGCAGGTGGCACGTAAGGAAGTGCCGCAGCTTTCGAATTTTCCGTGTTGCGTACCATCTCAGTGCCTCTGGCTGGATCAGCGGAAAACCGGACAAACCCCCAGTAAGGTTTTATAAATAAGTCCTCCGCCAGGGCACTAAATTCACAGAGTATTTATTCTCAGTCCGTACTCCGTTCAGATGGCAGCAACACAAACACTCAGTCAATTCGCGCGTCACACAATAAAAAATAGTAGTCAATGGTTCGGAAGTCCAAAGCATTCACTGAGGAGTCAGAGGACCAGGAGAGGCGTAGAGGAGGCTAGTTCTAATGGTAGAAGGACAACCAATTTGAGTCCACCCGTTCACTAGTCCGATTCCCTCAATGAAAAACAACAATCATCCACACGCTCTAAGGGGTTCCGGTAGGAGGCCCTTACTGTGTGGCCTTCCCGAATCCCAGCAGTAGGGCTGGATTGTGTGAAGTCTCGAACCAGTGACCTATTGGAAAAGATTGCAGTTTTGTTAATTTTGTCGTGGCAAACTGTGGAACAGTCGATTTCTTTCGATGAGGCGAAACTTATAAATTATGGACCCTGTTGCGAGCTGAATGTTAGTGCACAGTGTGTGTTATAGTGTGAATGTCCATTGCTTGGATCACGTGTATACCTAATCGTGTTCTCAATTTGTGCTCGCAGATGTTTGTTTTATTTGAAGCTGTATTTTTAGATGCCCAGGTTCTAGGATTCTTTCGAACGTGACCAAACGGTATTCTCGATGAATATTGGTGGACGAAAGCCGCTCGATGCGGCGTCGGTAGATCCTGATTTCCTCGTGTTCGGATATCAGTGTAAGATTTTTCGTGATGACGAGAAAGCAATGTCGATTGACTGTGGAAAACATCTCATCCCTTGGATCCCCCTACTTCCAGAGTTCTAACTGTCCAAGCTAGATTAGTCGTCAACAAATAAAGCTTAATAATGAAGGTGCGGTCACGCAATAAGGTCCATACTACAAGCACGCCGCAACCGTCTAGAGAGGGTTTACGAAGCACCACGTGGTGGCTATGATGCATTCGAGTTGTTGACTGCCGAAGAAAGGAAAGTTGAAGAACTCTGCGATGAAGAACGGTACATGTCTCTTTATCGAGACCCAGAACAAGAAGCCGCTGATCAAGGTATGCCGCCTGAAATTGAATCGAGTACCTTCACTCCAAGTTTCATATCACTGTACATCGTATTTTATTTTTAAGATGAAGAGCTCAAGCGTTTGCGAGCGGCTGTAGGAGAGAGTGTTCACGCCGAAATTGGATTTTCTTACGACGAGAAAGCACAGGAACCGGCAGCCGTTTGTCAAGAAGAGGAGGAAGCGGAAGAACCAGACGTGCCTTTCGTAGCTCCTCATGATCTCCATATTCCCAGACTAGAACGACAGCACTCAGTAACACTTTCTTATTCAAAGCCTAGATATCCCTTTCCAAGTGTTCAAAACAGCCATGGTGGAACATTATGTCAGTACATGCTGCTTTATTGCCCAATCTTTTACATCAGGCTGTAGAAATTGTCCATCCGCGCCTATGTAGCATAACGGTGAAAGCTCACAAATGACGAAACTTGTGAACTAATCCTTTCATTTCAAATGCTCGTCATCTATCTCTTCATAAGTTTTGTTGCGTCATGGGATTTTGCATTTTTGCACGTAATGTCCACGTCCCGAGCTTCGAAAACATGCTCGGGCAACGTTCCTGATCAGTGCTAAAGAAATCGAATTGCTCGAGGCCTTCAGATGAATGTTTCCGAAATGCGTTTATCTGGGTACGAGCACTTCACATGATCACATCGTTCTGTAATTAGATGTTTTAAGTACACGGAATCCTTTTTTCATGTCGTGTTATTCTGCGAAAAACTAGAGTGTCATTGAATTATCGTTCTTTTAATTTTCTGGGAAATGCATGGAAAATAATTAGTTCGAGTCGGAGGAATGCCATTGTTTGATTAGAATTTCGTTTTCAATATTGTTTCAGGTAGGAAGGGAAAACCTTTTCTAACGTGATGAAAAGACGTTCTGATGAAGTATTGTACTGTTTTCAAGTACTTCATTTCTTAATTTGCTGTTGTAAGACTAGCTACGATATTTTTACGAGCTCATTATTTTTTTCACGGGTTTTATTTTTTTTATTTTGATTGTTAGTGTATGCAAAATGTTGAATGGCGTTGTTTTTATTATTTTCAGCCTGAAAGCATGAAACAGTATCAAGTGATCGAGAAAACAGCCAAGTTTCTCGCCCGACAAGACCCTCAGATGGAAATCGTTCTCCGAGCGAGACAGTCGGGAATCGCTGCATTCGAGTTCCTCAACTACGGGAATATTTTGAACCCATTCTACAAGTACTTGTTGCGTGTTATCCGTGCCGGGCGATTCATCCCTGGAGATGATGTCAGTAATGACAAAAAAACTGAGGAACCCGAGCTCAGTGACAGTGATGATGATGGAGAGGGTTACCTGCATCCAAGTCTCTTCTCTCGACCAGCCGTTGTTTCAGTGAGTATCGAGTGAAGTTTTGTTCGATAATTTAATTTTGCTGGATGTACGAACCATGGAACCCGAAAATTGAAATTTTCTTTGAATCACTCTCATGTCCCTGTGTGACTTTTTTGGAAGAGCATTTTGTTTTCGACTTATGATACAAAGGTTGGTTTGAAAATGTATTTCAGTCCTAGGCCTTTGCTTTTCGATTAAATTCGTGTTAAATTATCGGGGTTGTTAATGACTGTTCTCAAATGTTTTGAAGGAACCGTGGAAAGAAGTTTTTCTTCTAGTTGTTGAATCTGCTCTGAGTACAGTACAGTCACGAAGAGAATTTTAAGAAGATTCTATTGACTTGACTGAAATTTTTGAGAATGCCAACGTGCCGAAAGATCTTGGTTCTCTGCGGTGTTTTGTTCATCTTCGAAGGGAGGAGCGCAATTGTACATTTCTTGGAAGCAAGTTGATTGAAACTGAAAATTTCCCGAGTACTTGGTGTCCTTGACTAATATTACTTGATGGCAAATTTTTCTGGTTTCTTTTTTGAATCCATTCTTGAATGGATTCCCGGATAAAATCGTGTTGTACAGTACAGTAGTAATTCTTTCGCGATCACTTTTCGTGCAGATTATTATCCGAATCAAAAATCGGTTGCAGCCCAAGTTAATTTTGCGAAGAGTCCAAAATTCGATATGCCACTGTAAATTTCAAGCAAGTGTTCGTATTATTTTTGAAGGCGCCTCCTGTTCCGGGTCCTGCGCCAGTGGTTATGAAGGATAATCCGTATGCGAGCCTCGTTTCCACGATAAGAATGTCTTCGTTGGTTCTGCAACCGACTCCGCCGCCGCCACCACCACCACCGCCGCCGCCGCCCCAGGGGCTATCATTGCCGCCGACGTTGCTTGCTCCGCCGCCGCCGCCACCACCAGTTGTCGTGCCGCCACCGGACCTGGAAACGGTCATCAACAAAACCGCGATTTATGTTGCGAAAAACGGGCCTGGGTTCGAGAGTACGATTTTGTCGAGAGGTCAGTTTCATTCGCTTTATTCGTAAAATTTTTTTTTTGCGCGCGATATTGTTTGACATTGAAATTTCGGAAAGTCGGCTGTGGGAATTAGCTTTTATCAAATACAAATGTCCGAATTTTTCCAGTGTTTGTCTTCCTGTGTTGAAGAAATAGAGTTACGGTGCATATTTTCTGCAATGCATATTGTAGAACTGTTCCATGGAAATGAAGCGTACAGTCGAACCTCTGAATCAGCAACAAATTCTAGTTCGGGAAAAAAGCATTTTATTTGGGGGATAAGGAAGAAGACTTACAGGAAATCCTAATTGGTAATATTATGAGTCTTAAGTTGCTTTTCAAATGAGTGGATAGGATGCAGAACTTGGAGGCTAGGTTTCATTTGGACAATTGACCTTTCACTTCCTTTCAAAAGCACATAAATATGTTTTAAAAATCTATTTTCTCTTTCCTGTGTCAATAGCCATAAAGCCTCCAGAAAATTTGAATTATAGACTTTTCATGGGGAAAGCCTGTGAGTTAGAGATGTTTTCAATGTTTTGTTTATAAGGAGATTCAGACAGGAACTTGAAAAATTCAAAATAGGGAGGTATTCGACTTGGGAGCTTTTAATCATCGATGTTCTTTATTAAATTCAAGTGAAATAAATTGGGTTTTCGAAAAGTGGTTAGTATTGTGATTGTATGTCTGTAATCCGCAGCTTGACAATCGCTTACAGGATTTTGTAGAAAAATAAATTATTCTACTGTATAAAAATCAAGACATGGGCAAATTATTTTTGAAGGACAACCAAATGTATAATACAGTACTGTATAGTATATTTTTTTAATGGATGGCTCCTTGGGTTAAAATGGTCGAGAAACTCTCAAGTGATAAGAAGTACGGAGTCTGACATCCTCCAGATTTCTTTGTTGTTCTTGATAAACTCAGTTAATTTATCTCGCCGCGGTAAAGAAAAAATCATGAATGTTCACTGCGTAAAAGCTTCCCCCATGTACAAATTCCAAGCGACTTCTCACAATTTTGAGCTTGAATTGTTCCCGTGTTCGCTTCCCCTCGAGCAGCTTTCGCCCTCTCTGTAGTCTGCTCCCCGCCTTAGGGGGAAAAACGTGTTATGAAATGTTGGACAGAAAATCAGACAGATGTCTAAACTGCTGAGTCGTGTTGCATCATCTAATTTGTTCTCGATCTTCATTGGGAAAATGGAACAGCCCTCGTAACGTGGCTCGCTGTGCATGACATTTTTCCTGTGATTTGTCTTGAATTTTTTTTATTTTTTATTCTCGTGACTTTGATAGGTATCATTTGTGTTGTTGCAGGCGATCCGAGATTTTCGTTTCTGAAACCCGGGGATATCCATCACGCGTTTTACGTCGAACGCAAGCGGTTCTACGGCGAAGACGGAACTGGGTCGCCACACGAAGGTGAGCAAGCTTGGACATGCTTTCTTGGGTTCTGCCTCCAGCAACCTGTGCGTTCAGCAACGGGTCATCTGCGAAGCTCTAAAAGGGGTTAAAGAGAACGAAAGAGAGAAAGAAAAAGAAGGGGAAGACAAAAAAAAGAGAAAGAGAGAGAAAATGGGAAAAATTCAGGGTTGATGACAGAGCTGACGCCCGAGCGTCGATTAATGATCAGTGACGCACTGCAAGTTTGCTTTCGGCGGTGTTTTCCTGGCTGGCGAGGCTTTGGTAAGTCAGTCACGAGTTTTTCTCTCCTGCATCTTGCTTCTCAGTTTTCTTTTCTTTTGTCCTAGTTTTTGTTCATTTCTTTTCCTTTTTTTTTTCTCCTTGACCGGCGATTATTTCTTCAACGATTGAAACTTGGGAAGTGCCATAATTTTCTCATTTGCGCGAACATGAGATGACAACGATGAGACTCGATTTCTCCGTTTATCCTATTGAACAAAAGTTTTGCGAGTGAATCTATGACGAACTGTCACTTGAACAATTATTTTAGGACATTAATCGAGAAGTGCTCGGAATTTGTAACTGGCGTTGTGCAGTACTGTACGAGAGGTAAGGTATAACGAATGTTTTTGGGATAGAAATTGAAATGAAATGGAATTTGGAATAGAAATTGATATCATTGTGCTGAAGAAAATTATTGTTGAAGAAAATCAAGAGCATAAGTGAAAAAAATGCAGCCCTGTTTGACATCTTTTTTGTAATTTTTTTGCGAAAGGCATTTTTAAAGCCTTTTGCTCTTCACCCATTAGATGAGGTGCCCATTTCGCAGATTTTTTGGTGTAGTCCAGCTTCTCATTCAGAACCCTGAAATCGACATGGAATTAATTCCGAAGTTTGCCTCCAGGTCTTTGAAAGTAATTCCGCCATTTTCATCCACCGCTGCCACATTCTTCTCCCGAATGGCTGCTTCGAAGGCGGCTTTTGATGAAAATGGCAGAAATAATAATCAATCACTGTAATGGTGGTATTCCTTGGAATTAATGCCACGTGAATTTGAATAATTCTGAGGGGAAAGCTGGGGTCCACCGAAAAATCTTCGAGATGGACGCCTCATCTTTTGAGTGAAGAACAGAAAGCTGCCGGGGTGAGATTTGCAAACATTTGCTGAAGAATGTGTCGGACAAGCCTGATTTTTTTTCTTGTGTCGAAGAATATTTTTTTTCTTATTATTTTTTCCATGTTTCAATTTCCATTCTGAAAACATTTGTTAGACCCCTTGTATGCAAAAATCGATTTTCATTTATTTAATTTTTGCGATGAGCGGAATATAAACAGTGTGTCTTATTCGCGTGAATTCAAAAAAGCAAGTGTTATATTTTTTCCTCACAGCAATTTTTCTTTGCCCGCAAGAGTCGATATTGAAAGAAATGATGTGTCCTGGCATTCATTTGTCGCAAAAGCATTATGGAAAAGTCGCACAGTGACTCGATGATTTTGATGGAGTGCGAAGTAATCGTCGGTTCTTACTATCACTCGTTGTAGCTGTTTCTTTCTCGCTTCACTCTGTTGACCCTTCTCGTTGTTTCTGGTGCCCTTGTCGCCAGTCGACTTCCTTCGTGATTCCACTTTTTAATATTGTGTTTGTGTCGTGTTTTTCCTCCCCTCTTTGCGTGTTGTCGCGTGTCTGGAAGGTCAAAAAGACAACATCACACCTGGAGGCACTTTAAGCTTCAGCATCAAGAAGAAAATGTCCGACCGAACTATCGTCGGCTCTGGGTTCATGGACGACGATGAGGAAGATGAGGCCACTCAAAAGCAGGAGACGGAAGAAAAGGAAGAAGGAAAGTCTAGTGACGATAAGGAAGTATTTCCTGTGGAAAAGTCTGTTTCTCCGCCTCTTCCGCCTCCTGTAGCATTCAGTGAGAATAAGGGGACTGGAAACCGGACGGAAATCCGGAAACCTGCCGCTCAGGATGGTATGTCTTGAAATGAAGGTTATTCATTTATTTTATTTTATTTTCATAAATTATTCTGATTTTTTGTTCTTAGGTGTAACCGATCTTCTGAGGGATGAACTTCTCATGAACGAGTCGATGAAACCAAAGATCGAAGCGAAAGATGAAGTGAAGAAGATGCAGTTGGACCGGAAGAAAAAGGCTGCGGAATTTTTGGCGAAGCTCATGAAAAAACCTGACAGTCTTCCAATGTCGAATGTACATCCTGGTAATTTTCGTTACTTTTCCGTATCAACGTGTGACAAGTCGAGCAAAACTTTTTTTTTTCATTTCAGGTCAGGCTAGGATTGCTCAAGAGTCTGTTGCTGACAGTGATTCATCTTCCTCATCAAATGCGAAGTGAGTTCTCCGTCTGATGATTTTATTTGCCTCTAGTATTGAACATTTTCGTGTAATTTACAGTCTTAGAAATCCGGAAACTTTGGCTCAAGTGAAAGATTTGCCAATCTTCGAAACGACGACCATGTCGGAACCTGAAATCTCTAAATCTGCGGATCAGTTTTCGGTGCAGAATGAAAACCAAGAGAACAAAGAAAACCAGCTTTCTGCGAAACCAGGGGGTAATTCGCATGATGACTTGAAGCAAGAACCAAAATCGCAAGATTTGCCCAGTAACTGTGTCATCGAGGAAGTCAAAGTTCACAGCAGTTCTTCAGAATCGGGCGAAATTAGAAATCCATCATCTGATGAAGAACGTGATGCTGCTCGTGACTCGAAATCAAAAAAGAAGAAGAAGAAAAAGACCAAGAAGTCAAAAAAGCGGAAGTGAGTGAATTTATTTGTATTTTTATCGATTAATTTTGAGTTGAAGAAAAAGAGGTTCCTGACAGCAATTTCCATAAATTCACGAACGCCGTAAAACAGCTAGTCCCAAATTTTGACGTTTTCTCAAGTTAGTTTGGGTTTGGGTTCTATATTTCTCGTCCTGGACTCTTCGTGTTTGAAATTATAATTTTTTGCGACTCTCGCTCTCCTGTGATTGATTTTTTTAATTTTATTTTTTTCTGGCGCATCGTAACCACTTTATTTCCCACTTCAGAAAACGTTCTGAACGAGATGAAGATGAAGAAGAAGAAGAAGAAGCATCTCGTCGGGAAAGGAAGAGATTGAAACATGACAAATCTAGCTCAGGTGGCAAAAAGCAGAAGCATCGAACCCGTCATCGACACCGATCAAAATCTGGCACTTCCGACGAAGACGCGGATGAAAACTGGGTGCCTTCAGCAGCAGGTCCCTCATGAAGAAATTGTTCGCCACTTTTATCAAAGCCTTTCATTTTTATTACGATTCAAGTTCACTGTGTGTGTGTTGTGGATAAGAATTGATCCAATCATGGTTGTACGAAAGAAGAAAACAGTGGTCGATTTATTTTGACAACTGGAATTTTCCCTGTGAAAGAATTCGTCGTATTCGGTTCATGATTCGCAGGAGGGATCGGTTGTGTTCGTGATTGTTTGAGTTTGTGAAATGATAAAAACCCGGTTGAACGCGTAGAAACGGAGGCAGATGAAAGAAGAACGCGACGCTGACGTGAAAGCGTCCAGCTTTCGATCTCATTCTCAATCTCTCTTTGACGAGGATCCCGATGACAAACGGAATTCGTCTTCCCGGAAGCGAAAGCGGTCTTCGTCTTCTTCTCCTCGCCGGAATGAGTCGTCCAAGTCGAAGAAGAGTAAAAAGGACAGAAGGTCCAAGTCCCCGAAAAAGTCCAAAAAGGAGAAGAAAAAGAGGAAGCTCAAGAAGCTGAAGAAGAAGGAGTTGAAGGAGCTCAAGCGGCTGATCAAGTTGCGGAACGAGGAATTCGCGAGAGCCGAGCAAAATGTAACTGAGAATGAAGCCAATCAGAATGGGAAAAAAGAAGACGAAGAAGATGATGAAACTGTGATCGGACCTCAGTTGCCAGCAGAACCCCCGCGACCCCCGCTTAAACCAATGACGAAAGAAGAATGGGAGGCTCAACAAAGCGTTGTTAGGCGTGTTCATGATCCCGAAACCGGTCGCGACAGGCTAGTATTTGACTGTCACTTTTATTTTGCTCAAATAATTAATTTTTCGTGCTAAAAACCTGAAAATGAATTTGCTTGCAAATTAAATATTTTTCTTTATAGCTAAAGTAATTACTTTAGAGTAACATGCACCCTCAAGTGAGACGCACACGAGGGTTTTTCAGTCTTAACATTTTTATAAAATTCTATCCCTAAATAAGACGCGCAACCCATTTTTAGTGACTCTTAAACTGGAATATGTTGAAAATTAAGAGCACCCAATTTTGAAATTAGGCATGAATTCATCCTGAATAAAACTAATTTTCAGTCATTTCCATTATAATACGATGGTTCTAACAAAAGTTCTCGGAGTAGCAATGAAGATGGCGTACATTTGACCTGAAAATTTTTTTTCTTTAGGAAGAATATATTCTTTGGCACATACAAAAATATCAGCCCTGTTTGACAATTTTTTTTAAATATTTTTCATAATTCACCCTGGCAGAGTTTTGCTCTCCACTCATAATATGAGGCGCCCTTTTTTTGTTGTAGCCCAGCTTTCCCCTCAGAATTTTTAAAATCAGCTTGGCATTCTTTCTAAGGGTTGCCTCCAGGTCATTCAAGGCAATTCCGCCATTTTCATTGACAGCCGCCTTCACAGCCGCCAAAGTGGCGGCCAATGTGGCAGCTGTGGAGAGTAAAACTCTACCAGGGTGAATTATGAAAAAAATTCAAAAAAAGTTGTCAAACAGGGCTGATATTTTTTATGTGCCAAAAAATATGTTATCCCTGAAGAAGAAAATTGTTTCAGGTCAACTGTGAGCCATTTTCATTGCTACTCCGAGAACTTTTGTTAGAACCCTCGTAAGTTTGTCTCTTAACATTGGTCCAAAATGTTCCATTGAAATATTATGCAAACCAAAACTTCTAAACCTTTTTTAGAAATTTATACCCGCCTACGACGCGCACCCCCTTTTTACCGATTAATTTTGAGATAAAAAGGTGTGCGTGGTACTTGAGTAAATATAGTGGTTTAAAAAAGGGATTAGAATTCAAATTTTGACCTCAATTGAAGTCAAATTAAATGTTCATTTTCCATTGTTTCCATTAGAAAAAATTGTCTAGGATTTCTTTTATTTCTTGCTGGAATCAAGTATGATGCCCATCAAAGCTTTACAAAAATTTTGAATTGCTCCTCTTTTTTTCCTCTCAATTTTGAAAAAAAAGGTGCACGTAGTACTCAGGTAAATGAAGTAATGTAACATTTTGCTTTAGTGGTTTTTTTTAGTGAGGCAGAACGATGGACTCGATTTTATTAAAACGAAAAGATTGGTTTTGTTCATTTTCAGATTAATAAAAGGCGATGGAGAAGTGATAGAAGATTGCGTATCCCGTGCGCGACATCTGGAGATCAACAAGAAAGCAACTGCTTCAGATGGCGAATATTTCCAGAAAATCCTGGCCTCGCAGATCACATGAATTAAATTTGTCTTATCGAAACCCAGTTTTTGTTTTCTCTTCCCAGTCTCTGCTCCATCTCTCCGTGTTTTATACCTTGCTATGAATTTTGTGGTTATCCTTCTTTGAAAGGGCGGCTGATTAAATGAAGCGGAGTTGATTAAACTTGGAGTTTCCTTTTTGTAGGGCATTCTTTGCTTTCTTTCCCCCTCTTCTCAGCCTGGATGGTTTTTTTTTCTGTGGAGGATCAAATTTTTATGTGACTTTTCGCGTGGATGTTATTTTTTGTTGTTCAAAATCTTCAGTCGCGACGTTGGAAGTTTCATCGCGTGACTTCATGTGTTTTCGTTACATATTGTGGAAATGTCCAAAGGGCTATGTTTTCTTTTTGAGTTTCAAAAGAAACGAAGGATGGACAACCAGCAATGAAAGACAGATGTTCTTGGTATTTCGGCTGTGGGTTTTCGAGTTACAGTGAAAACTCCGTTATTCTTTATTTTCTGTGGAACTGCGGAATGTGAAGGTTTGCCCAAGTCATTATAATTATCATTAATGGCACGAATTTTCGCCATAAATTTCAAAATTTGTACTCGGAATTTAAATTTCTCGAAAGAACTTCGATTAAAATTATCCAGGCAATCACTAATTGAATCCATGGTCCATTGAAAGTACGGATGACGGAGTTTCAATTTTTTTTAAATCGTTTCCCTTTAATTGATCAATTTTTTTTCGCCCTCAGATCTTAAATGTTAGTGCGGGTTTCGTGAAAAACGGGGGGTTCGAAGTTGAGTGCGAAATGCAATCCCTGAGAAGGTGATACCAGACTTGACGAGGTCCCCCGAACGGAACCCCGAGGCAATGGAGTCGGTGCCGGTGTTCCTCGTTCTGGTCCTTCTCACAGTGGACGCCGTTCTAAGTGGCGCCCGTGATGTTATTTACGCTGTCAACTGCGGCGGAGAAGCACACTTGGACTCGCATGGCATCAGGTGAGTTTTAACCGTGAATCATTTTTTTTACCTGGCATTAATTTTATTTTCATTCATTTTTTTCTTGACAATTGAGGTACTCGAAAGTTTTGATGATGATTCTTCGGTACTCGAGCCGCCACCATTTGTTTGTGATTGTTAAACAGGGTTGATGTTTTATCAAAGAAAGTTAAAATAAAATGGAATTTGATTATAATGGCAAATAAAATTCCTATTCTTCAAAAAGCAATAAAAAAAACCTGGGATTTTTAAATGATATCCAGCCAATGTTCCCACGAAGTGAATTATTTCATCCTTGTGTTCTTTTTTTTTTTAATTGGAACAAATATTGTACTGTATTTACCCTTGGGTTTAGGTTTATTCTGGAACATTTGCACCTTAGGTTGCTCAAAATGATAGTGTATCCCTTTTTTAAGTAGAATCTCGTTATAATGAATAATAAATTGCAACGAAGTCGTAATGTAGGTTCCTGTTCAATAAGCCAGAATGATAAATGAGTTCCATTGAAACGAATTTTTTTTTTACAAGGAAGATATTTTACTGGTTCCAATTACTTCGTTGTGAGTAAATTTTACTGTGTATGGATTTGAAGTGTTTACATCTTTAATCATGGAAATGAGGTAGTTTTAGTAATGTGAAGTTGAAAGGTCGATGATTTCCGAGGACCTCAATTTTTTGGCAGACCAACGCAAAAGGTTCATCCGTATTTTTATTTTATTATTCTTTCTTCCTGGAAATACAATTTTTGAGGTTGGATTTCTTGAAAAATGTTGGATCAGAATGGTTGTGATTGATGGGAATCCAAACGTAGTTTCATTTTCATTCGCAATGATGGAAATTTATTTTAATGTTTAATCAAGAATGAACATTTTCTTAAGAAACCACATCACATTTTCGGAGTTGATGAGAATTTTTCATTTCCGTCTGTTCTGATTTATTCAAAAGGATGGCGTTTCTAAATGTTTATTAACTTTTTCAGCACCTGATTTTTTTTTAATTCAAGGATTGTATGTCGATTTCAAAGCTCTACTCCATAACATAGCCTAAAGAAAAAGTGAAATCCATGTTCTCCCTGGGCAACATACCGCCTGAACCTTGGCGTAGCCTAAAGCCCTGTGCCAATAATTAACGTGCTCACGGTGGACTAGATCAGATTTTGTATCAGACTGAGCGGTATCATCATTCGAAATTCGGTTACGAGGTAAATTCCTGAGTTTCAACTACGAATGAACTAGTTTTTTTGCACTTGCTTGTGTAAAGATTGGACAGGTTTCGTTCGTCGATCTTATGTGATCCCGATCGTAAATTGCATTTTTGTGTCATGCTAATTTCTATAACGTTTTTAATTTGAAATATTTACTCTAGTACCACTTCTTCTTAAATTCGAGTTGCGCGTCATTTGTGGGAATAATTTACAAAAAAGGTTCTAGAAATTAAGTTATGCATGATACTTGATTCTAATTGGAAATTTTGGACCAAGATTAGCAGAAAAACCTTTTTTTAATGGAAACAATTGAAAATTAATTGAGTCCACGTTCAATTTGTGTCTAAATTAATATTTGTAAGTTCTTATTTTTGAAATGCTGTGGTTTAGAGCTTTGTTACCCAACCTTTTTGTGCCTACAGGCTAAACAATTTCATGGACATTTTTTGTCAACTAGCGAAATTTTACATAATTTGGAGACCAGCAGATAGTTTAAAATACCTGCCATGAAGCTTTCAAACGAAAACGTCTATTGCAAAAATTAATTTGAGAACCGGTGAAGCAACTACTGTATAGTGGAATATCTTCAAAAAATTAGAAAGCTAGACTTCAAGAAAGGTTTCTCAGAACAAATATTTTAAATAATTCATTTCAGCAGGTGACAGTTGGTCTGAAGTGTTATGAGAAAACCTAATTTTTTTTTCGTGAGATAATTTCAACCGCAATTGTCTTCCCGAAATTTCAGATGAAGATAACAGACTTCATTAATCCTTTTGATGAATTTAATATGTCAAAGAAAATTTCCGGCAGACCGGCAAAAAAATTTGCGGACGGCGTTTTTTGCAGACCACTGGTTTATAGTCACTGAAAATGGGGTGTGTGTCTTACTCAGATCGATACAATTTCATCAAATTATTTTACTCAAGGGTGCGTGGTACTCAAGTTCAGTAAATACAGTAAGTTGCTTTAGCAAAGGTAGAATGTAGGGCTGTGTTTTTCCAACAAATTACCCAAATGGCACTTGTATAGTTGCAAAGACGAATTTTTGCTTTTGAACAGTACATTTTGGCTTTAAAGGTGCAAATTTTACAGCATTTGAATTTGTAGTGTAAGACATCAAAAGTAAAAAGCTGAGTGGAAATGTTCAAACGAAACACGTAATCAATGCAATTCACTCATTAACGCGGATACAAGCGTTTTTAACACAGTACAGAACTTTCACCATTTTCCTTATTCTTCTTTTTGTTCCAGACTTCCTCTCAGAATAATAAAAAAAGGGGAATTTGTCTAAGGTCAGAGACCTCTACCAAGCATCGTTTTGGTACTGAAGTTCTCAGAGGTCTACTTCAATCAGCCGAACCAAAAGCTCTTCGACGTGGTGTTGAACCGTGAGCATGTGATAGTGTCCGACTTGGATATCTACAGTAAAGTAGGTCGTGGCGTCGCGCACGACGAAATCATTCCGTTCAAAATCAGGTGAGAAAGGAAAAAAAAATTATTTGGATTATCTTTTTGTCGAGGCAATTTGAAAAGGACTCCCATGTGATGCTCCATTTTTAGGGACAACTTGTTGATGGTGAATGACGAGGTGAGCATGGTGTCGAATGGGAGAATCCGTGTCGATTTCATCAAGGGTCCCTTCGACAACCCGAAAATCAATGCTATCCTGCTCATCAAAGGAACCCTGGCTGGTGAGAATTTCATCTTATATCTATCTCTCTAACTTTCCCGGTCTCTCCGTCTGATTTAATTTAATTTTGTTCTCACGGAATTATTATTTTTTCTTTCTTTCAAGCGAGGTTGTGATGAAAAAAAAGTTCGTAACGTGAGACAAGTTCGGTTTGTTCCCGCATTTCGAGAAATCGCGGATCTCGCACTATTTCATTTTTTGATGTGAAAGGAAACAGTACGAAATCTGCGATTTCTCGAAATGAGATTTGATCAGATCTGATTTCATCAGATATTCTATTTTGAAAATGCGTCTGACCACATTATTGTGGGCGCATTAATTCTAACTTCAAATTGAATCATCTAAGTGTACAATTAACTCAATTTGGATGATGCTATGTGGGAAACACTGTTTGAACTTTGAATGCTGAAAAGCGGAAAGTAAAGCTTGTCAATATATCTACTGTATCTAAATAGCTTAAGTTAATGCATAACTATTACAGGTAAACGTTTTAGCTTACTGTCCTGACTGAGTGAATTAACTGATAATCTGGTGATGTTATGTAGGTACTAACTAATAAAATATAGCGCTCGAGAAAGTTAACGAAACCCTCAACTGAGATAACCACATATCCCACATAATCAAGCATTTAATTAACGTAGAATATCACCCAACTAGACGAGGAAGATGCAATACTTTACCTAAGTCGTGACTGACACAACCAAAACTATCCCGGTTAACTCAACGTCTAAAGTTGAAATGTGGGTTGACAGATTGTGCAGTACAATACAGTACTTGAATACAAAAGCTCTGCGTGGGCAGCTATGAAGAGGGATAACACATGAATGAACCTTGAAAAGAAAAAATTAAAAAATCAAATGAAGCGCTGTCTCGCTTCATTTGAATTTTTAAGCAGCATTTACATGCGATTTTTGTTTTCCTCTCCTATCAGTACCGAACTCGTCAAAAATTTTTTGAATGGGTAAACCTCCAAACCGTTTTGTGTGGGTTGACAGTTAGTACTTGGATGCTGTGAAGCCTTTGTGTGGGCAGCTTTAATGAGAAATCAAGCGTGCTCTATATAAATTGCCAAAAAAGGCTCATTGATTTGTGAAGTGCAGTATTTGCATCTTTCTGAGAAGTATTTCTGAGCAATGTTTTTCTTACTTTAGTAAGAACTATATATTAAAATAAAAGATTGTGTACTGCACAGTAAATATAGTGGTTTGCCTTTGGATACTTTTACCATAAGTATCTAAAATAACGGAACCTTCAATCGTCAGAGGTTTTGAGTTGCTAAATGGTACAGTGCAGTACTTGAATTCCGAAGCACTATGTGGGCGGCTGTGACGTGGAATTATCTAAAATAAAATTTACTCATCGCTGCATTTAAATTTGTGATCAGCATTGTATATTATTTTTTTCCATCGCTGAAAATTTCCGGTCCGCGGACCACGTGTTGGGGAACACTGCTCTAGCCGATACAATAAATTATTATTTTGTTCGTGTGGATGTGCCAATGTTGCCATCGGTTACCATCACTTGAAATGTTGTACCCGATTATGATGCGCACCTAATTTTGTTTCATTTCATTTAGTTAAAAAATTTGTGTGGTGGTCGAGTGATTGAAGTTTCATTGATGAAAGGGTATGTGGTGCTGTAGTCGATACAATCCAATTTTTTTTTTTTTGGTGTGTGTAGATGTGCCAATGTTGCCATCGGTTACGGATGGGATTCTGGATGAGCCCGAAGAGCGAACAGAAGAAGCCAGGAGCTCCAAGTCAAAACGAGCTTCAGGCCCGCGAACACCGGATCCGTACGCGGCCGACGATTCCTCAATTATGCTGCCGGTATTTGTGGCGATCGGAGCGTTCATTCCGCTTTTGTTCTGCTTGTGCAGACTGTGAGAGAAGAAAAAAAAATAATTGTAATCGCGCTCTTTTTTCCCTTTATTTTTCGTTGACGAAGGTGGAATTTTTTATTATTAGTCAATATTTTTGTTTCCCCTTCGTCATCGTCGTCGTCGTTGTTGTTGTTGATATTTTTTTGTTTTGTGTTTCTTCCTCGCTTTTATACCTCCTTCGTCACGAGCTGCCCATTTGTTCAGCAACGTTGTTGATTTTATTTTTGCATTATTTATTCAGCACGGGCATGTTTTTGTTGTTTCGTGTGCGCTTGTTCAGTGCTTTTTGTGAGCGTGGTTGTTTTACTGTATTTTATTTTTGTGTCCCCAGCGTGTTTGGTGAAAATACGACCAAAAATTACCAGTGTTACGATTGCTGTCGGTGTTGTTCAGGAGTAATCGGTTCTTATCTCCGCGCATTGGAGGTCTCAGCATTGGTGATGTTATTAGGTGTGATTCAGCATATTTTTTGTTTGTTTGATGCTTTTATTGTTGATGGATTTTATTGGTCTTGTTGCTTCTTTTTTTTCTGATCATTCTGGTGAAATGCCGGAACTTGTGGGTTGAATAAAACTGAGCACCTCTGGAAACCTTTTGAGGAATTATCTTGATGCATTGACAGCATTGTTTACAACAGGTTAACTGTTTTTATTACCGTAAGTTGCATTTGAAGGGAATCCAGAATGGATGTTGATGCAGGGAATTTTTGAGTTACGGAATTTCGCTTCATTCGGGTGGGATTTTTGAGGGAAATTATTTTTTGGTCAGAATTATTGAAACTGTTCATTAATCATTGATGCTGTACCTTCGTTAAGATTAATAATCCTTTGTGTGGAGTGACGATGGCGATAATCTTACGATATATTGTAATGGTCGTTTACACCCAGTTGTGCACTTGATCACCGAATTCTGCGAAATATTTCAAGTGAGTTTGAATTTCGAACATAGTTCTTCCATTCAGATAATTAAAAATTTCATATCTATCTACAATTAATCGATGCTCTCGCTCACTCGTTGTTGAGTATAATGATTTTGGAGTATCTCAATGGCAGTAATAACATTCGCAAATTAATTGCATCTTTTATAAATACCCGGATTATAGGAGATGCTGTACGTATTAATACTGCTCAACACGCCACGAATACGCAATCGTCGCGAGACAGTTTCATGGTTGCTGATGTAAATGGAATCTTTCGAAAACAAAAAATATAATATGCCTCCTCGTGCCATTCGAGTAAATCAGCATTGAAGAGGAAGATGAGTGGAACAAAATTTGACGGATAGAGGGCAGTAGCGGTAAAAAATGTCGGCGCCCGGTGAAACAGTAGTGAGGTTTCCCGGTCGGCTGGCTGAAGTCTGGAAGCCTTGTTTTGGCCGGGAAACTGTTCAGTCGTGTACCGCACAATTGTGAACGTTGGCGAAATAAGTCCAGTGTATATCTGACTTATTCACTTTGATTAAATTAATATTTTATCCGAATTTCCCCGTCGAATGTGTGCAGAGCTTTGGCTTTTGATTAGCGGTGTTGCATTGTGTTTGCTAATCCCCAAGAGGACTTGTTTCGGCCTTTTGTTCGCAGCTTAGGGCTGAAACCATCTGTGAATGGAAAAAAGCCGCAATCTGTACAACTAATATTCAATTATATTTTGGTGTCGATCGTCAGAATCGGAAACATTTCAATTGTTGGATTCAGACTAGCGTTTTGAAGTAGTTTTCTCGAAATTTCATACCCCCGACGTTTCGTTTTTCGGCGAGCGACACCCGTTTGTTGATTCTTCATCCGTTAGGATATTTGCGCGTCGGAAAAACTTCTCTGTATTTACCTGGGGCAAACTACGCCAGCGAAAGTACAGAGAAGTCGGTGAATAAGCGAAGCTGGTAGCTTCTTTACCATTCGTTTGAAGGACCTGGTTCTCGGCTGCCACTTATAATATTTCGCAGATGTACGATGTTAAGTGGATTGCTTGATTATAGCTGTCAAGGCCCGAGTTTCTCGTGAGGGATCTAATTCCGTGAAAATAGACAATGTTTGCATGTGCGCCGATTTTTCTTCGAGCCCATGAAAATGATCTGGTTATCGCGGTGGAGTGAACTAATTATTATTCGTATCCGGTCGACAAGAGTTGATTTTTTTAGTGCCATAGTTATTCTTTAAAATTTTCTTAATTTTATTTCCTGGACTTAAACATGTGCAGTTTATTATTTTTATGCATTTGTTCGTCTTCGTTCACGTGGGAAGACGATGTTTGTTGGAATACCGAGAGCTGAAACGGTGATTCGATCCGACACGTTCAACCCACTTGCTGGAGTTACGCTTGATCTGGTTTCCTTTTACGGCTTGTTGCCCATGCTGCCGTGCTTGTTAAAAAAGGATATTGAGTAATTTTCTGTGGATCTGATTCATTCCCGAATTTTCCTGTTGACCGAAATTTTGCGAATCCAATTTCGGCAAGTGTAGGGGTTTTCACCAGTTTTCATCCTGAGATAACGTGTATATTGTCAAGGTTCACTCGCTGTTATGGAGTAAATGTGAAACCAGATGCAGGTAATTTCGTGTCTAAGTTCGCTGTTTTGGTTTTCATATTTTAGAAATATTATAAATTTTGGTTAAATTTTATACAGGAGTTAGTGTTTCGTCTCATGATCTGTCAGTGATGTTTATTTTATTTTTATTTTTTTTCACCGTGTTTGTAGAACGACCAGAACATTGTAGAAAATTTCTCTAAATTTTTGATTTTTGCTACCGAGGACCATCTTTCCAATAACATTTTAAGCTCAGATGAATTCCCCGCAAAAGTCGGGATACTCCTGCAGTTCGTGTTTTAGATTGAAGAAATCATATTAATCGCCTCTAATGTGGTGAAAAATAATTCCGATGACGCAATCCCAATTAAAATTTGATAATTTTTTAAAGATACAAAAGCTCGAAAGTCAGTACGTAGCTTCAAAAGTTGAAATGATGTCAGGCATGTCTCTGATCAATATCAAAACTTGGAGCAAGCTTTTGTTTGTTTTACGCAAATCAGGTTTGCTATAAATACGATCTTCGACAATAGATGGACAAGAAGTTCTGGAAAATTTTATCGATCTGTCAACATCACTCGCGTACGAATTCTGAGACTCTTTCCGTTTGGAAGCTGGTTTTAGATTGCTAACCACAGTCGCTGAAACGAGGTTTTAATGATATGAAATGCGAGGTAGCATTTTAAACTAACTTGAAATTTGTGAAACGTGCAATTCTGGGTGTAGAACCTTTTTTCCACAGCGGTCGAGATTTCAAGGGAAAGTCTGACGAGAATTTGAACAAAAGTGATCAACTTATTTAAAGACGCGTTGGCGAGGAAATGCTCAGGTATTAAAATGAAAAATACTTCGAACATCCGAATAAAAAATTTGATGGGATTCACGTTTTACTCTCTGCTAAAATTTGGCAGAAAATGTACACGCTCGACAACATTTTGGTGCGTATTTTATCTCCTTTGATTCAGGGTTTTAGAATTGAATTGATATTCATTTTTGGAGCTACGAAAAATTACTTCTTGTTTCAAATACCGTATCAGTTTTTTTTTTTTTTAAATTTGCTTATTGTTGATTTTTTCTAGGTGGAACGCGTGAAGCTAGTGAATTTCCTTTTTCCCGCGCAGAACGTGAAAGTGATTTGCGTTCTTTGAACATTTCTATTTTTTGCTGTTGTCTGCGTGTGAAGAACAATTGTGTCGGATCTGTCTGGATGAGCAGTTTCCTGGGCCATATGTGATTTTCGTCGGAAACGTGAGTACCTTTACTGTATTTCGTTTCTCTGGCGGAATCCGTCTTAACGGGAACAGATTTATTCTTCTTGTCCCGTTATGCGGTCAGGCGTCTGGAGATGCCTTTTTTTCCGGGTCAAAAAAAGGCTTCTTTGTGCGAATGGGGATTTATTTTATTTAATCCTGACGGATAATCTCGGGAGAATCCGAAACTTCCGTGAACATTTTTTAAAGCGGCAATGGGATTATGATTACTGTTATTATTAACTACAGAGTGTCATTTGGAAATGAGAAAACTCGGTATGAATATCCAGGGCAGAAGTTCGCAACTTGTGCTTTGCGGATCTTTCGGGGCTCCTCAGGAATTTCACGGGGGCTCCACGAATGGTTGAGAAAAATAGTGAATGGGAAGTTGAATCGAGTTCAAAATCAACTAGTTTTTGAAGAATTTGCAAGAACTGGTGTCCGTATATGTGACGGCTATTTCCGGAATTTTTCAAATATTATTTAGCCCGAAAATATTTTATTTTTGATACTGAGAATGTCCGTATTTCAAGATGTAATTTGGAAAAAAAATTTCGGAATGTTCTGATTTTTTTCAGCCCGAACATTTTTTTGTCCTTATTTCAATATGTGAAGGATATTTCGGATGGTTCTGATTTTTTGCAGCCAGAACTTTTTTTTTATTCGCAAGAATTAAATGTCCTTATTTCAAGATGTAAAATGGAATTTGGTAATGTTTTGATTTTTTTAGCACGAAATATTTAATTCGCAAGGCATACAATCTCTTTATTTAAAAATGTGAAGGGTTTTGCGGAATGTTTTGACTTTATTTTAGCCCTATATTTTCAACATTTTTTTTACAAGACTTATGATTTCCGTATTTCAAGCTGTAAAAACTACTACGGATTGATTTGATTTTTTCCCGAAAATATTTTACTTTTGGGACGTATACGAGGCTTTTAGGATTATTTCATGAATTTTTATTTCGGAAAGGACTCTTTATTTATTGCAAAAATGACTTTCCAGTCCTCGGGTGAAAATATATTGAGTCTACTTCAAAAGAAAGCATTTCGAAAACGTTTTTACAATGAAAAATAGTTTTCTGATCCTGGAAACGTTAAATACATGCTGAAATTGAAAGTTACTTCATGATGATGATGGGCGAGGAAAACAATTTGCTCAAGTCAAGACTGCAATGGATTTAATACTGTACTCAGCAAATACACAGAATCATTTCTGAAGTCTTTCTGTT